CTGTTCTATGTCCTTTGCCCATGTAGATTTGACCGCCGTGCAAATGGTGCTTTGTTCCTTGGAACCCATCACTTGGGACCCAAGAGCTCACCTGCGCCCGAAAGATCTTCGCACAGGAGACTCTCTCGACACAGATGTCCAGCGGCAAGGTGGATTCCTATCTTCTCACCGAAGGTGTCAAGCAGGCGCAGCTTTGGAGCCAGGGCTCAAGGGTTGATTGGTGTTTATCCCTTCCAGTTCCAAGGGCGGAACATGAGCCACATGAGCGAGGAAAACGTAAGGGCTGGCTCTCGCCCGCACTTGTCGCAGCGAGGTTTCCCCTGAAGGCTTTGAGTCCTGTTGGAACAGTTTCAATCGTAGACAGTTGGAACGCCCAACAAGTTGCACGTAGCTAAGGGCCTGTTGCTGGAGGGTCATGTGGGTGCTTGGCAGGATCTAGACGTAGCAATGGAAGGTCATCAGATATCTCAGCTGAGCAGTGCTGGGACCAAGTGCTCCGAGCACCTTGGGACTGCGCGTGACGAGACGAAGTTGTTCAAAGAAACTATGTTTTGTTCTTTGCAGTTCCGTTCTCGTCAGGCAAATCCTGCGCTTTGGTTTTTTGGCCGTTTGGACGAGTGCGGTATATGTTGTATGATCAGTGTGGGACATGTTTTGAGACAACGATCAGAAGAGTGAAGGGGGTGGTCCCAGAGGATACTTGCCGGACCCCAAATACAAGCAGTGTCAGCACTGGCGGGTGGACTCCGGAGGTCTTACGGGTTGACCGGGTGGACCTTGAAAGGCGAAGATTCACGCAAGACACCAAACCCAACCTGGCAACCCACATCTTAGCCCGGTACCGGTTTTGTGATGGTCTCGCACCCAAACTAAGCCTTGGACATTGGCAAGGGGGGTTTAGCCATGCTAGCTAAAAGAAGGGGCTTTGTATATCAGTGCTTGCATGCATCATATATACACATGTCCGTGCCGTAATATTTATCCAATGTCATATATATATATATATATACATACTTGTAATGCAAGATCTGCTCGCAAGCCGGCCCACAGGAAGGGACAATCCTGTGCTGCAAGGCTGGTTCCTTGACGGACCTTCAATGGAGATGCAGAAACAGCCACAAAGAAGAACACATGAGTTTTACCAACCACCATCAGCAACACAGACGCTCACAGCCATCGTCGCCACCATGAACTACCAATATGATCAACACCCACAAACATGACTCGTAGCAGCATGATGAACATTGTTAGAATGACCAAGGTCAGCAATGCTAGCGGCACCAACAAAAGTATCAACACGAGCAGAACCTGCAAAACCTGCAAAGCCTACAAAACCTGCAAAACCTGCAGCGCGTTGCCCCGGTGCCGAAAAATCCGGCCCCTCGTGATGTGCCATGGTCGACGGATCGAAGTCCGTCGGCCCTGAGGAGCGCTGTTCGCTGTTCGCTCGCTGGATCCGTTCTGATTGGGTCCGCGGCCCCTTGAAGCCCCTTTTGGGTCGTTGTCTTCTAAGGGGTTGACCAGTTTTAGTGAGGAAGCCATCAAACAAAAAGGGATTTAGCTCTGAATCCCTTTCGGTTTGGTGGCTTCGCTGTTCGCTCGCTGGATCCGTTCTGATTGGGTCCGCGGCCCCTTGAAGCCCCTTTTGGGTCGTTGTCTTCTAAGGGGTTGACCAGTTTTAGTGAGGAAGCCATCAAACAAAAAGGGATTTAGACTCTGAATCCCTTTCGGTTTGGTGGCTTTTCATGCTGCAAAATAGGTTGCTTCAGGCAGTTTCCGTTTGCCAGGTTCGGCAGCACCAAGGACATTCCCCTCTAGGGAGCCCGCCAGCTTGGTATTGCCACTGTGAACGGACAAAGTAACACTTGGGACGGGACAAACCACCCACCCCACTGGTGAGGAGTTTGTTTGGTTCCAAAAATGGGCCTAGTTGCTCTCTGGGGGGCAAGCATTGGACATGTAACCCTAACCGATGTGTCAGAGCCCTAGTATGCCGGCGCGTTGCAGGCACGTGTGTGTGTGTGTGTGTCAAGACATCCTTTCAACCGCTCCAGAAAGGGTACTCACACACACAGGCAGGCAGGCAGGCATACAGGCTTACAGACAGACAGACAGGCAGACAGATAGACAGACAGACAGACAGTCAAACATGAAACAAACAGGCAGACAGACAGCCAGGCAGGCAAGAAGGCAAACAATCAACAAACAAACAAAGCAAACAAACTAACACACACACAAACGCACAAGGAAACACACAACCACAGACACGCGCAAACACACACACACAGACACAGACACAGACACAGACACAGACACAGACACAGACACAGACACAGACACAGACACAGACACAGACACAGACACAGACACAGACACAGACACAGACACAGACACAGACACAGACACAGACACAGACACAGACACAGACACAGACACAGACACAGACACAGACACAGACACAGACACAGACACAGACACAGACACAGACACAGACACAGACACAGACACAGACACAGACACAGACACAGACACAGACACAGACACAGACACAGACACAGACACAGACACAGACACAGACACAGACACAGACACAGACACAGACACAGACACAGACACAGACACAGACACAGACACAGACACAGACACAGACACAGACACAGACACAGACACAGACACAGACACAGACACAGACACAGACACAGACACAGACACAGACACAGACACAGACACAGACACAGACACAGACACAGACACAGACACAGACACAGACACAGACACAGACACAGACACAGACACACACACACACACACACACACACACACACAACAATCGCAGAAACAAGCAATCAAACAATCAATCAATCAGTCAAGCAAGCAAGCAAACAATCGAGCAACCAAACAATCAAGCACACAACCAAGCAAGCAAGCAAGCAATCATACAAGCTGAACGTCAACCACACAAACTAACACGCAAACAAACAATCACACACACACACCGTCACTAACACAAACAAACCCGCACACACACAAACCTCCAGGACACAATCACACAAACAACCCCACAAACAATCAAACAAACAAACCAACACAACTAAGCAACCAATCAAGACAAACAAATCTAAACACAAGCATATAACACCAAACAACAAACACACAGAAAATAGGCAAGCAAGCAAGCAAGCAGGCAGGCAGGCAAGCAGGCAGGCAGGCAGGCAGGCAGGCAAGCAAGCAAGCAAGCAAGCAAGCAACACACCACCACGCAAACACAAACATACACAAACACAGAGGGAGAGGGAGAGAGACAGAGAGAGAGAGAGAGAGAGAGAGTGAGACAGAGAAACGCGCACACACACACAGCTGCCCGCTCGCCCACCCGCCCGCCTGCCCTCCCGCCTGTGCGCCCGCCCGCCCGTCCTTCTGGCCGCCCCTCCGGCACGCACAAACATGCATCCATCCATCCACGCATCCATGCATGCATGTATGACACACACACACACACGCACAAGCACAAGCACAAACACAGACACAACAACAAGCACAAGCAAACACACACACACACACACACATTCAAAACACACAAACACAAGCGCACACGCAGCTGCAAGCACACAAGCAAACAAGTACAAGCGGAACGGAAACACAAACACAAGCACAAACAAACCCCAGACACACACACACACGTGCACCTTGATGCCAAACAAGTCATGCGCCTAAGTTTCGTCCACATCATTCTTCGACACCTTGCGTAGAGCTGGCTGAATGCAAAGTAAGGACATTGAAAGAGGCTGGTGTTGGGCACGGAAACTCGCGGTTTTCTTCCGAACACTTGAACTTCCAAATTATTTCTCAGATGGCCCAAGTATGCTCCTGCGCACTAACATGGAACCTGGCTGAGGGGTTCTGGAAGCCTATGTTCCTTCAAAAGGGATGTTCTGGTGGGTTGCGTGGCAACTTGGACAGGGCCGGCCCGACAGGCAGAAGGTTGGTACTGGGCGTGCGGCTTTGCAAGGACTCCACCTTTCAGGTGCCCCAAACTGCCCTCTCGGACCTCAGCCGAAGCCTGAGTGGACCTGATACCCCTGAAGGGTAGAAGCTCTTGTTGAGGAAAAGGGGGTAGGAACACGTTGGTTGACTCCAGGCGCCTGTCTTGATGTCCATGTTTGATCAAACGGCCCGCATTCTCCGCCAGGACCTTTCAGAGAGCAGTTTGAGCACAGTTCAGTGAGTGTGCAGCATGCCCTTTCTTTGCAAGATGCTTCCGCTCCAGACACAGGGTGTCAATATTGAACCCCAAACTTGGAGGACAAATTGAAAGACACCCAGGAATAGGTCCCTAGTTTGACACTTCCCAAAACTCATGGGACCGGCGATGTCCTGATGAGTCCAGTTTGTTTTAGAATGGACGTTAGCTGGGGTCCCACATTCCACTGTGAATGCCAGTTTGGTTATGTTTGATTCCGGGTATCGCTCACTTCAGCTTAAGCAACCCCGCTAGACAAGTCTGAGGATGGCTCGTATTTCAAAGGTTTGGTCTATGTATTGGGCCCACTTTTGGTTTGCATTGTTCTGATGAATCCGAAGTGGATGTCACATGTTACATCTTCACCCTGCGTATCCAGTGGCATAGTTTCTCCATTCAGTTCTCTGGGCAACTGATTCCCAGAGCCTGGCAGCCTTCCGAGGCTACCAGAAGACATGGACGGGTGTCGGCAGCTCAGGTTGCGACTCATGCGACTCGAGTGTAGGAGTGATACAGACTTGGCTCAGTGCTTGGATGGATGGATGGATGGATGGATGGATGGATGGATGGATGGATGGATGGATGGATGGATGGATGGAAGGGGATCCGTGAAGGAGACCGGGACCCGTTCCTTGAAACCTGCCGCTGAAGGGGTGACTTTGGAAATGAACCGTTGACGGTGCCGCACAGTTTTGTTTGGGCTGTTTGGCGGGACAACCAAAGAAAGCCACACATGTTGTGGGTTCTGTTTGGGACAAAGCCGTGTGGGTACTCCTGTTTCCCTTCATGTCCACATATGATTAAACAAATTGGGAGAACTGTTTGGGGGGGAAGTAGTTTGGGAGGGGGGAGAGGCAGACATTGCCCTCCCACCAGGTAACATGGAAGTGCACAGACCCCTGTAGAAAGACGACTTTCCTCTTGGTTAGTTGGCCTTTTTGCACTTCCTTTGGCCAATGTCCTCGCCCTCTGAGGCAAGCGCTCCCGACAACCCTGGGGAGCTGGCAATGGGGCACAGGCGCGCCAATGTTTTTTCTCCCCACCAAACGGCGGAATTCGAAGCCTCACGCAGAGCCCGGGTACCATGTGGCTGTGGTTGTCAAAACCAATGGGTTTTCATTTTGGGGCATTGGTAAAAAAGCACCGCCCATTTTAGGCTTTATTTCAGTGGTTGGATTGAATCGCATGTTCACTGGGACGGGATTTGACCCACCATGTTTTTAAACTTTCGACCTTTGACCTGGCTTTGCCTTTTGGGTTTCATTTTTAGTGACCCCAGGTGACCTGTGATTTCCAACTCCTCGGAGAACGGAGGAAGTGGAGGGGCCTTGCCAGGAGGATAGTCTTCCGACACCCTGCCCACTTCCATGATTGTTGGAAAGAGGGTAGATGAAAAATGATAAGGGACAGTGTCAAGGAGGACTAGGTGTGGGTCGCCTGATTTCTTTACATTTGTTCCGGTAGACGGGCTTTGCTCATGACTTACTCGTGCAGCAACTTGACGACCAGACGAGATCCTTGTAGAAACTCTGGATGAGAGCACTGGCGATGGTCAGCTGGGAATGTCTTAAGATGCGAAAACTTCGCTCGACCGCAGGTTTCCAATGGTACTCGTCCTGCGAAGTTCATCCTGGAACCCTAAAATGAAGTCTGTTCCCCAAGGAAAACGGTGTATGGGACAGGGAGGTGCTTGGTCGCATCTGTTGTTCCTCTGCAAGTCGTAACAGAACCGAAAAGAGGGTCCAATTCGCAAAAGGGCGACACATACCTCCCCTTTTGCACGGATCGGGGGGGAGGGGCGCAGAGGGAGCCATTCATCACTGCCTACAGCCCGACAAAAAGCAAAATGTCTAGTTGTTGTGACAAGACCAGGCTGCGCGGGTCAAGCAACATACGGTAACATACATTTGAAAGAGGATTGCCATTAAGACAAGTGCAGGTCTCTAAAGTACTAGCAGCTTGTGCGGAAGGAGCCCTCAATGCATAGTGTTCAGGAGTATTCATCTAGCCACGCACGACGACTGGAAGTGGGAGATCCAGCGTATGGCAGTTGAATTCCGCGACCTTGTAGCGCCTTTCAAAAGGAACAAACATAAATTTTGACACGCCAAGTGGCCCAGTTCGCTGGAGAGGTGCTTCATCGTGCCATGCTTCATATCCGAGTCGGGCTCCTCTACTGCACGCCTCATGGAGAAGAGGTTCACCGAGTCGAAGCATGAGCTCTTCAGCCGCTTTGCCGCCTTCTAGGCTTAACCAATCTGAGGGACCGGTGCACCCCCCAAGGCCAGTCAAAGGTCGTGCGCGCAACATGGAACACCAATGTCTTGGCTCAGCTCAATGCAAAAACACAAGTGGTTGCCCTAGCCTTGGTTGGATTCTCGCACGTCCGGCCCCGGCGATTATTACCTGTAGGGCAGTGTAAGCTATACTTTGGGATAGATTCCAGTGAGTAAGGCAAGAGACACTTGCTTATGTATGTGTGTGTGTGTGCTGCAGGAGGTGATCCAACTGGTTTCTGACTGTCAGAATTCCCCTGCATCGCAGCCTACATTTTTTGGCAGGTGGGCTTTTTGTCAAAGTAGCGACTGAGCAAGGGTTGCATGTATGCGCGCAAAAAGATGCGCAAGTCGCTCTTGGGGTTGTTTTCCCCCGCAGCGGTTCAGAAAGCAGGAAACGTAACGCAGAAGGCTTGCAGGGGACAAGCATGTTGGCCGAAGCACGCGCTATGTTCCTCGCGGTGTGGACTTGGCCTTTTGTTTCTGCATGTTTAGGAGCAAGGTGTGCGCAAGTCATTCTTCTTGCGTGTGCGTGTAAGACCGGTGGCATATGAGAAATTTCCTTGGGACCCTCTGCGATGGTCGCTTCAAGTGCTCAAGCTGCGACACTGACCTTGCAGCAACTTGGCAAGTCTAAAGAAAAGGGCGCCCTTGCAGCAACTCAGCCAGCAAACAAGACCTGTGTGTGTGTGGGCGGGACTCGACCAGTCCGCTTGACCAAAGCGAGCTTGCCCACAGGGTTTGCCAACGCAATGGGCGCCTTCTTGCGCTGGGCGTGTGGTTTCTTTCTGACAGGGGGCCCTGTTTGGGGTGAAAACCACCAACCTTTGTTTCAGAGGCAGGCCTGCTCAAACAATCCAACATGCCGCAGGTGCTGCAGATCACCAACTTTGGCCCTCTCAAAGTTTGTTTTTCATTTTGGGGTTCCCCTTTTTGTCTCCAAATTTTCGTCTGAGTTCTTGTGACCGGCCTTTCTAATCGTGCAGCCCATCTTGAACAATCCCGTAATCCAAATGGCCATGAACTACACGAGCAAGCCGCCTCACAAGTGGTTGGTGGACATGAATTCCCAAATGATGTTGCAGCAAAGCTTTGGTCCCTTAAGTAGCTTGGGTGTGACTCCTCCAGATCATCGGCCGCTTAAAGCGGCTCCTTTTTCCCCAGCTGAAAGCTATCTCTGCCCAGACAAGCTCTGGGATGGTTTGGGGCTTCAGGGAGGGTTCCGGGGGGCACCTGGGCTCATTGCTGTTCGGGTTGTGGGTTCCGGTTGGGGATACCACCTGGTCTCATTGCTCCAATTTGGGTTGCGAGGAATCTCCCTGCCATCGGCTCTGGAATGGTTTTGGGGCAGCTTCAGGTGAGGCTTCCGGGTTTGGTTCCGGGTTGCTGGGAATACCCCCTGGGCTCAGTGCTCCATTTGGGGAGCTGGGGGTTCCGGAGCTGGGAATGGGTACCGCCGCTCAGAAACCGCGAGGATCGGCCTTTCAGAAGACCAGCGTCTTCATGGCGCTGCTGACGGCCGGGGTGGCGGTGTGGGCCACCACTCAGGCGCTCTGGCTCCGGGCGGCTTTGCTGTGGGGGCCGCTCGGAGCGAATCGGTAGCCAGCGCGGAGGTCGATGCCGATTTCAGGGCGGAAGGGATCCCAAGGTGTTCCTCTCGCCGGGGGGAGATCCTGGACGGGACTTTGGACTGTTTTGGAAGCCCGTGTTTGATTTGATGCCAAAAGAGGTGAGATGGTGGTTCTAGTTCTTGTAAGTTACATACCCTTGTCAAGTTGACCGCTAGCCCCAAGGAATTGGGTCTGGTTGGGCGTTCCCCTGGGCCTAAGTGGGCTTTGGGCTGGCGTAGATCTTAATTGGTTTGTGGGTTTCATCTAGGCTCAAAGCGCTGATATGCAGGCTGTGGGGGGGGGGCTTGAGTTGGCTTGAAACTGTTTTGGTTTTGTGTTTTGCGTGCGGCTGGTTTTACAGTAGCTTTGGGTGCTTTAGAGATGTAGTTGCGCAAGTTTTTGGACAAGTGTTAGTTGTTCGTGTCAACGCTTAGACCATGGCACATGTGAGTTTGTCTTGTTTTTTGAGGGGGCACCTGTTGATGGATGGCTTTAAAAGGAAACCTAAAGGACCAACCACCGTGAAGTTTCCCTGGATGTCTCCAGGTGGATTTGCTTTTGGGTGCTGGCGTTTGAGATGTGTGGCAAAACAATGATTTCACGCTGACTATTATCGAACAAATGGTTAGTTGCCGTTGCACCGTGGTTCGTTCCCTCTAGTAAGAAAGGCCCCGCTAAAAACAACAATGCGTATCAAAATCCAGCGCAAAGAACTAAGAATCGGCCAATTCGAAACCAATACTAGCGATTCCTCCGCCTGACCCCCTAGTAGTGGCTCAATACTAAGCCAAGGGCGGAGCCTATTTGAGGACACGAATGCCCAAGAGGAAGGACAGCAGGGAAACCCTTAACAACAAAACATCTTTTGCCCCCGGGTGCGTGCTTTTGCTAGGGAGGTGGAGGTGCTTAATCTTTCGGGGGAAAGAGTTTAAGCAACTGTCCCCGACAGTTGGGCACTTTGCCCGGCCAAGGTTAATGCTTCCTCTGTATGCCGCCTACGGCCTCTCGGCACGGGCATGGGAATCAGATCAGTGCCCAAAACATCGGCCATTTTAGTCGTGGTTCTACCATGATGTATAGAGATTCCAGGAAGGCCTATATGAATTCTAGCCACCATCTTGGTAGAACCAGACAATGGGTTTGGGCACTGCTCACATTGGTTCGGATTTTTGATCAGATGCCAGTTTTGCACATCCCTAGGCCAAAAGTCCGGCCAGAGCCTTGCTACCCTGGGGACTTCTATTCCCCCAGAGTCGGACTCGCAAGACAGGAAACCTATGGGATCCCCACCAAAACACTGATCGTCCCAAATTGAATGATCAACGTTGTTTTTTTCCTGAGCCCTCGTTGTTATAGTTTGGGGTCTCCTCAACCATGCATATCTTAAATGTTGGGGCAGGCTTAACATGATTTAATACGAACCAAATTATGTATATATATATATATATATTACTTCCCCAGAAATAGCTCCCCTTCTTCATTTGTTTTGCTCTTTTGGGGTCCCCTTTGTTTTCTGCTAACCAGGCCAAACCAAAATATGCTTTGTTGCTGGGGTCCTGCTTCCAGCCAAGTTTCCGCCTTGCTTTGGGCCAAGTGGCCAGCTAGATCCTCCAGTAGCGCCCTTTTACCGTTCCTTTTTTGGTTGGGAGGGTTGTTCCCCTACTAAAATAGACTACAGAAAAAAGGGCACCCTTTTTTGGGGGAGGGTTTATACTAAAATAGACTACAGAAAAAAAAATCGGGCACCCTTAGTCTAACCTCTCGACTGGAGGACCTGGCGGGAATCCCGGCTGCGAGGTGCGATTTCCAGCCACCGCCACTGGAAGCGCGCGCTGCGCTGCCGAAGGCTGCTGGTGCTGGCGCTTTGCGCGCAAAGCCCCGGGCCCAGACGTCGGTGCGAGCCGAGAAAACCGAGGGACCCCCACAACCTCAGCGCCTCTCAGAACCTTCTTAGTGATGTTTTGAAGGGATCTTACACCTTTTTGGGGTGATTCTAGGGATTGACCCCCCATTCTCTTCACCCATTGTTCTCAAAAAACGCCACCCAAGTTTCCAGGGTTTGGCGCATATCTTGAAGAGAAGGATCCCTGAAGAGAGTGGGACAGGTACAGCTAGAATGATATTGCTATGACCACACAGCGAGAGTTTCTACCAAGCAAAGGCGCCCATATGTATAGGCATGATGTACGTATGCGTGTGTGCATACTATTACTGCACGCACTGCGTACTGCGTGCTACTGCTACTCGGTAGTAGTAGTAGTAGTAGTAGTACTACTACTACTACTACTACTACTACTACTACCACCACTACTACTACTACTACTAAGTAGATTTCGTCGCAACCAGCGGTCATTTTACAGCATTCAGCTGTTTGAAGTACCCTCAACTTGACTTCCAGGTCTTGGTTGGTCCTGCGAAGCTTGAGGCACTTCGCTGCTCCGATTCCAAAGCTGTGCCGGCTCAGCTTTGCAACGCCGCGATGGCAAAGCGGCGAAAGCTCAAGGAACAACACTCGAGGTCGCTTCTGGACTCGCACTCCGAAGAGGATGTTATGCTGACAAGCATCGAATCTGTTTGTTGGGGTTTTGTGTTGAATTAAGAGTGCTTGGCTGCGGTTTGATATTTCGTGGTTTTGCAAAGAATACCCCCAGGAGTTCCGTCCCTTTCAAGATGAGCCAGATGAAGTTCACCCTGAGCCGTCATTAGGCTCGGATCCTACCTGTTTTTATAGCCAACATCAGCCTCGCACTACTTGATTTGCTTTGCCCAAGGCAGCACCCGGGAGATCACGAGACCCAAGAAGAAAAAGATCGGTGCGTGGGGCGACTATGATGAGGATGGAGATGACCCACCAGCAGATCTCCAACGCTTGATGAATGAGCCGCACCTTGCCCTGATCAAATCCAGTTACCGTTGTTTAGGGGTTGTTGCCTTGGTCTTTGGGTGTGCCTCAAAATGCACATCGTGCAGCCGCCATGACCTTTTCAAACTTTTAAAGAAGGGCAAGCGGATTTGGATGCTATCGGGTACAAACAGAGATGCAGTCTCAAACCAACCTTCAGCAAGGCCTCCGTGTCCCAAGACCGTCACGCAGCTGTTCCACTGGCCGGTGAATCTGCTGATTCGCTTTGAGCGTCTTGGCCTCACGTTATGCTTCAGACTCTTGTCATGTGTAGCTTGATGGCTCCAAAACACTCCTTGGGAAAATGCTAGAGACACCAGGTCGCTTTTTGGGGCCGACTACGTACAGAACAAGATGAAGTCCGCGAAGGTTTGCCTGGACACCTGGTTTACGGGCGGGGATTTCGCTGCGTGCGCCATCGAGCAAATTCGCTCTGCAGTTCGGCGCAGGAGACTTGGACCAATGACAAAGCTTTGACTGCTTCTCTTCAAACCCATTTGTCAGCCGTGCAACCAGGTATGGCTTCGAGCTACAGGTGTTGATTGGCAGGTCTTGCGACGTTGCGAAAAGCTCTCAGAAGCTCTTTAACTGCGCTGGTCATTTTATTGTTTGGAACTTCTGCGGTTACCGCCCATCTTTTCTAGCCCCCTCCCTCACTAGTTTAGCTGCAAGGTTCATTCAGCGGAACTTCCCGGACCGCTGCATCTTTCCCAACATTGTGGACTTTGTGGAGGATGCGAGTGTTCCCATTTCTAAAATGAAGTTGGCCGCTCGGCTATGGCAAGCAGTTGCCGTCCTTTGCGCACTGTTGCCAGCAACATGACCTTTCTTCGAGCGCCTTTTTGTCGGTTCGGGATCGGTAAAATAGTTAAACAAAGGGTCCATAAAAAAGCCAATCGCTTTCAAAACCCAACACAGACTCCACCATCAGGGGAAACAGATTCAGGGAAGGCATGTTACTAGTCGACCGTTCTTTTCAACACAGTTTACCCTACTTTAGCGCTGATCCTCTCACGACACCTCAGGCACCAGATATGCACTGCCTGGCACACGGGCGGCGTTGCCCCAGGGTGGCCCCCGTAAAGGAAGGCTGGCAACGTGCAGGCTGCGACGGGCCGCCTTGCGTTTTGTTCAGTTTGTGCCTTGGAACCCAGTAGCAGTTTGGTTCACAATATGTTTCAGCTGCAAACTAACGCCCTGCAATCCAAGGATCGGAAAGCGAGAAGGATTCAGCAATCCCGAAAAAAAGAAATGCCACGACTGCTGGATTGCCGACAAACTGGACCAGCAGCTACTTGTTGAAAGGATATGTTGCTCTTGTTTTGTAACAAAGTGACACTTTGTTGCCTTGAAACCCCTTGCTCCTTCCCCAAACAGTTTACTTTGGGGGTTTCTACTTCTAAAAAAAAAAAGCCGCACGCTGCCAGATTGCCGAGCCGCATGCTCGCCAGTGTGCGCATGTACTTGTCTCCAAGCATGTGCCTTGATTTGTCTCCCGTGCTGCCGGGCCGCACGCTCGCCAGTGTGTGCGTTTACTTGCCATCCCAGTACTTGCCTTCATTTGTCTCCAGGTGCTGCCAGATCGCCGGGCCGCATTCTCGCCCCAGTGTTGCCGGATTGCGGGCTGCGCAGTTACTTGTCTCCCAGCACGCGCCTTCATTTGTCTCCCCGTGCTGCTGGATTGCCGGGCCGCATGCTCGCCAGTGTGTGCAGTTACTTGTCTCCCAGCATGCGCCTTCATTTGTCTCCCCGTGTGCAAGATCGCCGCGCCGCATGCTCGCCAGTGTGTGCATTTATTTTGCGCCTTCATTTGTGTTCCCGTGCTGCCAGATCGCCGGGTCGCATTGTGCATAAGCGTTGCGCAAAAGCGTGTTCACCTTCGGTGCAAACAACTGTTCATTGTCGGGGCATAAGCGTGCCCACCGTCGGCGCACAAGAGTGTTCCTTGTTGGTGCACAAGCTTGTTCACCGTCACCTCACAAGAGTGTTCCTCGTTGGCGCAAAAGGGTGTGTGTTCAGCGTCGGCGCATAAAGGTGTCCGTTGTCGATGCAAGCGTGTTCACCGTCGGCGCACAATAGTGTTCCTCGTTGGCGCATAAGCAGGCTCACCGTCGGCGCATAATAGTGTTCTCTGTTGGCGCAAAAGGGTGTCCCCTGTTGGCGCACAAGAGTGTTTCTTGCCGGCGCATAGTTTGGGCGGTCCCTCAAGAAGACACACTCACAAATGTGTAATGTTGGCCTGACCTGGGAAGTGCATCATTGTTTTTCTTACAATCTGTTTGGGGTCCACGCCGGAATAATTTCCGTTTCAAAGTAGTCGGTCAGGTTGGACTGGTTCCTGCACGAGAACGTAGTTGAATTTCCCGGCGAGCGTGTGGAAATTCCGCTGCAAAATGCGGGGTACGCATGCACGTCGACTGTGGTCACGCCGCAGAGATTCGGGAAGGCCATGTCAAGGCAGTGGGTTATCTGTGGAAAGTACTATGTTGCACAACGGTCCCTAGTTGGCTGGACAGGCCACTCAAGAAAGAACAAAAACAATGGTGAAACAAGTATTATCACGGTAGAAAGTTTCTAACAGGTGTTGAAAACACAACTGTGGGGAACACGCAGGCTTCGTAAGTATCGGCTCTTCTATGACTCGTACAAGTTCACATGGAAAGGACCTTGTGTGCGGCATGTGCTGAAACTACTGGCGCCAGTGCGCCCACTTCGGATGGACGCGGACGACCTGTACTTCATGACGGAAAACCAGGCAGCAACCCTTTCCGAATTGAGGCAACACACGGTTGTCCTATGGAAACCATTTTCCATTAAACCTTGATTTTTTTTAATATGGTCCATATCTGCGTTTTTCTACGTTGTAGGAGGAAGACGCTGGTGGCCAAACCTTGACTGGGTGGTCATCCGATATCAAAGCTGCATATGAGGCATCGAGTGTCTCCCGCCTCAAGAAGGCTTTGGTGTGGGAAGCTTGTTTGCAAAAGAACGCAGTTGATTTCAACAAGTGGCAGGTTATTTGGTCAACCTTGTGATTCCCGCAAGGATCTCAGCTAGAACCCGGAGGCGCAACGAGGCCGCAGTAGCGCCACTGACGCGAGCTTGCCAACCTTCACAACTTCGAGCGGTGCCCTGCGCCACCCTGAGTCTGAGTGAGTTGTCACACATGGATTCGCAGCCCGTGCTGCAAACAGCGTTTAGTCTTCAGCACAATGCAAACATCTCTGTAGCTTTGCTTTAGGTGGTCTCGGCGCCACTCACGATGCTTGAAGCCTGACGAGATGCTCAGTATCATGGGGATGCCCGTCAACAAGGAAATTGCGGACGCTGCAGGCGTGCGGCCCGTCAACCTTGAAGGCATCACACCGAACATGAAGGCTGGACCGAACAGACTTTTTTGGACCATTGGGGAGGTGTTGTATGGGAATGCTCTTGGGAATAGAAGGGTTGCAGAACCTCGGTCAAACCACAGTTGTGCCATCAAAGAAACTCCTACTGGCCTTGTACGGATGCCAGAAGGGCCTATTCCAGAACCTAAGGGCCAACAACTCAATCAGAATTCAATTCAAAACTCAAGTAGCTTGCTTAGTGCTCACTACCCTGATTCATTGTTCTTCAACCTTCAACCGGCTCTCCCTGTCAGGTGACTCTCGCCGGGAACGGCATGGATGTTTGCAGCGTTGGCTTCATGCTGCTATCGGCACCTCTGGCCACTTTCGGTCACAAGGTTTTTTTTGTTTTCTTGCCTCGCCAGGCGCTGGTGTGTTTGGAGCCGAAGGCCAGAAAAACACATTCAATGTCAATCAGAAGCCATCCTATATTCACCTGTTGAAGTTGGCAGGCCAGTGGAAGCTCAGCCGGCGCAGTGTGACATGCAAAATGCAGGAGACTCAGCGACGCTCAGACCAGCACGCCGTGCCTGGAGATGTCATCAGTTGAGCTGCCAAATGTTGGGTTGAAATTTGAATGGTTT